TGTGACCTTTTATATATATATATATATATATATAGTATATTTGATACCCAATGGATATGAAAATGAGGCACAAATTTCATATCCATCAGATATGAAAATGAAGGATGAGAATAGGATATCAGAATGAGGATAGGAACTAGAGATGAGAATAGGTTAGACTATGCTAAACTTTAAATATATAGGTTGAACTTGTTCAAAAAAATTAAAGTTTAAGTTTGATTTATTATTTATTATAGACTTTTTTATAGGTCTGGTCTAACCTTTTTAAAGCCTAGTCTGACCTATTAGCTTATTTAAAAGTTTATTTAAATTATTAAATAATTTAATCAATATTATTAAAAATTAATTTTTAAAAGAAATATAGGGGAAAAATTGAATCATTCTTTGTTGAAGGAACAATTGATACGTAGTTATGTATGTTGATACATCTATGCACAGATCATAAATTTATAAACCTATAATAAAAAAATATATAAAAATATTTTAAATTTTAATAATTTATTATTTATTTATATTTTTAATTATATATATATATATCTTAATTTTTTATTATATTATATAAATAAATAGATAGACCTATTAAGTCTTACATACCTTTCTATAAGCTTAAGTTTAATCTTCTTTATATAAATAACATTTTTTAAAAATCTAAATCTAATCTTTTTATTAAATAAATTAAAACATATCCAACTTTAAAAAGATCAAATTATAAGTTGATATCTAACACCTAACCTATTTCCACATATAAGAGGGACAAGTATAGAAAAATACCCACCTTACCCGTTGGCATCCCTGATTAAATGGGAATAGCAATGGTGTTTGGTAACTTTCAATAAACTTAATTGGTCCACACTTATTTATTAAATAAATTTATATAATGTCAGGCTCACATGGTGGCCATGATGATTATCTTCCTTCCACATATTTCTTTACAGACAAAACAATTAAGGTTAATTTTGTCACGTAATAATAATGTTTGTACAAATGAGACTCACGCAACTATAGAAACCCGCCAAAGTTTTTGTTTGCATGCACAGGAAAAGAACCTAACGTGTGGCCTTGGGGAAACCAAACTCTGAATTGTGAATCCCATCACTGTCTAAGCCACCAAGGTCTTTATAAATCAAAGGGTGCTTAAAGAGAGGAAGAGAGAAAAAGAAAGAGAATCATGGAAAGTGGTGTTGTGGCTGTAAATAATCATAACTATGAATCCAAAGCAACATCCACCATCACCATTAAGGGCATTCTTAGCCTTCTAATGGAAAACATTGATGAGAATGGAAGAAAGAGAGTTATTTCTCTTGGTATGGGTGACCCAACTCTCACAACATTGTTCCACACTCCTAATGTTGTTGAAGATGCTGTTGCTCACACTCTTCAGTCTCACAAGTTTCATGGCTATGCCCCCACTCCTGGTCTTCTCCAAGCTAGAATGTAATGCTTCTCTCTTCAACTCTCATAAATTTCAAACTCTTTTTTATAGCTTGTTTTTGTGTTTTATCTAAAATTAGACTCGATAACAAGAAATTTATAACAAATCAAAATATTTAACCAATTGAGTCGGACCCATTTGGTTTCTTTGACTTGTTTTTGTTGTTGATTCAAGACAATTCTTAATTTGCAACTGTTAGTCTTTGAAAAAATTTAGTCACCCAATTAAGGTCTATTTGGAAATTCAATTTTTTTAGCACTGCTTAGTTTTTAGAGAATCTTAAATTTGGCTGTCCAACATTTTTGTGCAGCTTTAAAAAATTTTGGTCGCCCAGTTAATGTCTCTTTAGAATTTCGAAACTTTTTAAAACCTTAATTCGACGTGAAAAGTCACGTCTCAGCAAAGCAACAAGTCCTTGTTTTGGCGTGTATTTTTTTAAGAGAAATTATATGGTACTTACATTATTTGTGGGGTATCGATACAGTTGTAAATATAATTTTATTTTATATTTTATATTTTTAATAATTTATTTAAATAATATTTATGATATTTTATTTTTTAAATTTTTAAATTATTTAGTTATTTTATTTTTATTTTATATATTCTAATTTTATTTGTAATAATATTATTGTATATTTAAATAGTTTAATTTTAATAGTTTTTTAAGTATATTTTTGTCTTTTCACTTAAAATATTTGAATTTATATATTTTAATTTGAATTATTTTTCAAGTATATTTTTGTCTTTTTGTCTTAAATTTTTGAATTTCTATATATAATTTAAATTTCTATAATTTTATCTTATTTTTTATTTTATAAATATAATTTGGATTATTCATCTTATAATTAAATTAATTTTTTTTAGATCTTTTTATGAGTTCACACAAAAGAATGTATTGAAACCCTTCCATCTTTGAGAATACAGTAGCAACTCCCATTTTTTAATTTCGTACATCATAAATTGCGATTTAAAATTATTTTTCGAACATTTGTTAAAAGTATGATTGGATGAAAAATTTAAATAAACATTTTTTTAAAAGAATTTTAAATGTTTTATATTTTTTATAAAGATATAAAATATTACAAAGATGGACATAATGAAAATTGAACGTCCTTATGCTTCTAACTATCTCAATCCTTCTCTACCCAATCATTAAATTAATCCTAATGGTCTAGATGAAGTGTTTTGTTTAAATAGAGAATTCACAAAGAATTTAAAATTTAAATATTTGTGAAATTCTTTAAAATAATAAAAATTTCAAAATTTTTCCTAAAAAGTAAGAGTTTGAAATTTTTTTTTTTATCTCATTTATATAACATTTTTATCTTTCTCGCATCTTAGTTGTTGAATGTTTAAAAATATTTTTTTTAATTATTATATATTATCTAATATTAATTTTTAAAATTATTAAATATTTAAAAATTAGTTAATATTTATTTTTATAAAATTTAATCTAAAAATCTTAATATATATATATATAACGCATAGGAAAAATCAAATTATCATGTACAAATAAAAAATTTAAAATTTAGAAAATTTGAATTGACTTATTTAAACAAAATATTAGAAAAATAATAAAAAAATTAAAATAATTCAAATTTCAAATTTCATGAATTTTGAAAATTCCTCCTCCAAATAAAGCGTAAAAAATTTTGGTCTCTTTCGAATTTCAATTTCTTAGCTCTGTTTTTATTCTTGTTCTATTTTGAGAGAATTATATTTTTGGTGATTCAAAAGTTACGTGCATCACTGACTTAGCTTTGTCGTCATTGATGACGATTTTTGTAAGCCAATGGCTCACTATTTTCATGTTTGCCTCAAATTCTGTTCAGTGTGAAATTGAATGGCATTTGTTCTTCATTTCGCATGAATGTTTTTGGATTTTGCATTTGGTTCAGAAATTCTATCGTAATTTTTTATAAACATGGTGTTTTTGGTTGTCACTGAACATTAAACAGTTCAATATGCTTTCCTTCACTGAAGGGTTGGTGCAAATTTTTTGCTTCAATGCATATATTTTCTATTGTCCAATTCCTAAGCAATTTTGTTAGCGACATAGAAACAAAAACATCTGAGAAAGGGAATCTGAATCTGGTATCTCAGAGTAACTGTTGGACTATTGGTTGCTTGACTGGTTTGTTTGTACTCCACTTGAAATAAATTTCTTGGTTTTGTTTCATCTTATTCCAACATTGAATGCCATGTAAAGTAACTATCATGTTGGTGACAGTGCAATTGCGGAATATCTGTCTCGGGACCTTCCTTACCAACTATCAAGTGATGATGTTTTCATCACTTGTGGATGCACACAAGCCATTGATGTTTCTGTGGCGATGCTTGCTCGCCCCGGTGCAAACATTTTGCTTCCAAGACCAGGCTTCCCAATATATGAACTTTGTGCTGCATTTAGAGGGGTTGAAGTGAGGCATTATGATCTTCTTCCACAGAAAGGTTGGGAGGTTGACCTTGATGCAGTTGAAGCTCTTGCTGATCACAACACGGTTGCGTTGGTGATTATAAATCCTGGGAATCCTTGTGGGAATGTGTACAGTTATCATCATTTGGAAAAGGTTTGTTCTTAGTTTCCTATGATATAGCTATATTCTACTGATTTTGAAGAACTTTTGAGAATTTCTTTACTGAAAAGTTTGAAAATAAATAGTTTTTCTCAACAAAGAAGTTCTTTAGAACTTGTATCTAAATTCTAAACAGACTTTAAGTAACTTTTGAATTTTGAGACACTATATGTTTGTAAAAGTTGACAATATTAACAGGAGTTACTGAATTTTTTGTATGTTGGACTTAGATTGCTGAAACTGCAAAAAGGGTAGGAACAATTGTGATTGCTGATGAAGTTTATGGCCACCTTGCATTTGGAGGCAAGCCTTTTGTGCCAATGGGAGTTTTTGGCTCTGTTGTTCCTGTTCTCACTCTTGGCTCTCTCTCTAAGAGATGGATAGTTCCTGGCTGGAGACTTGGTTGGTTTGTCACAAATGATCCATCTGGCACTTTTAGAAATCCAAAGGTTAATTCTTGTTCCCCTCACTCTTTGTTTAATCCACTTTTTTATATTTTTCATCTTGTGTCTTAGATCATTGATCCCATATGGTACTTGAATAATGACACTGCAATTAGAAGTTCATTAGTTAATAGGAGAATATGCTTGACTGATCTTATCATTGATCAGTGATTTATGTTCTTAGACATGTGAATGAACCTTTCTTCATTTATGTTTGTTGATGTTTATACTCTGTAATGCTTTATTTTATTTGTGTTGAACTACCTTATGTCCTTTTTGATTGCTTCACTCTTTTGTATTTTTCTATATTGAAGTTCCAACAGTTAACTGGTACTTCAAAATATAAACATCTCATGAAAGAACTCTTTTGCTGCTACTTCTAAATTCTAAAAGTTCTTCATGGTATTCAATAATTTCAATCACCTTATATGATTTTAGACACATGTTTCTTTTGCAGGTAGTTGAACGCATTAAAAAGTATTTTGATCTTTTGGGAGGTCCAGCCACCTTCATCCAGGTTTCTATTTTTCTATTGCATGCTTATTTTCAAGTACAGAAATGGATGCATGCCATCTTTGGCTAACACTAACAGTGATGTTTTAATTGAAGCAACTCAATTTTATTTAAACTTAAAAGGAAAAATCAAAAATATGAAACAACGAAAGAAAAAAAGAAGTTTTAACTCAAATTTCATGATAAATAGAAATAAAAAAAGAAATGTCACATTTTAAAGAATACTATAGTAAATTAGTCTGTTTGGATATAAGTTAAAAGCGTTTTAAAAATTGTCTTACTGAAAATAAATAATATTTTTCAATAGAAAAACTTTAAAAAATACTTCTAAATTTGTGTTCAAACATACTCTAGACCAGAAACATTCTTGCGAAGACATGTTTTAAATGACAAAACATGAGACTAGTATTCATATGTTGCTCCTAGCTCTGTTATTAAATCCAAGTTATTTGATTTGGTTCTGATATATGTTACAATTTCATCCAAAATTGTTGGTTAGGAAGAATTTTATTTCATGACATGAATTTATTTATTACTTATTTCTTTTATCTAATTGATAGCATTTGCGGTTTGACAGGCAGCTGTACCTCAAATAATTGCACTTACTGAAGAAGTTTTCTTCAAGAAAACCATTGATAATTTGAGGCTTACTGCAGATATATGTTGTAAAGAGATAAAAGATATTCCATGCATTTTTTGCCCTTATAAACCAGAAGGGTCCATGGCTATGATGGTGAGATATACCACAATGTGGTTTATTGTGAAAAAAACAAATGTCTTAATAAATAAACTAGTTTTTTTTATTTATTATTATTTATTCTCCTATGAAATGCAGGTGAAACTAAACCTCTCACTTCTAGAAGATATCAGCGATGACATTGACTTCTGTTTCAAACTTGCAAAGGAAGAATCTGTTATCATTCTACCAGGTACTGTGCAAATCTTGCTTTGCCTCGCACATCTTCTGTTTGGAGAATCATGTCATTTATAAAGAAAAATAAAAGCATTTATTAGTTTTAGCTACTTGATATCCTCAATTATGTTTCTTTTGCTATAATCACCATAATATGAGTCACATTTTTTATGGGAGCAACTTCGATGATAGTCTCATCATAAGCTCTCATCTCATCATAATTTATGGGAACTTAACATTTCCAGCTTGCATTTTAGTGAGTGACTTTTAGAGACTTGTGTAACCAAATTTACTATTATGACTTGGGGTTGAAGATTCCTAAGCATCCAACAGAATCCTTGTTGATATTTAGTTATAAATAAAACCATTAAATGATTTTATCCTTCGTCTTTATGTAGAATTTTCATGTATATCTTTTTGAAAGAGGTAGAGTTTCATTACACTTTTTATTATCCATGTTTTATAATTTTGTCACTCAACTAATAAAATTTTACAAATTTAACTAATTAAATTATTGACATGGAATATAAATAATGAAGTGATACAATGATCATGTTGACAATTAACATGACACAACAACTATTAATGTGTCATGTTAATTGTGAACGTGTCACATAAGTGATTAATTAACAATGTCAAAAAATAAATTAATGGATGATAAAATATATAAAATTTTAAAAGTTGAATGACAAAATAGATATCAAAATTTCTCAAATTGTGAAACATGTGTTTAAAAAGTACAATTAAGCCAAATAATTTCAACTCCATCCTGTAGAAACAAATAATAGTGAACATTGCAAAGATAAAAAACCAAAAAAAATAAGCTTATTAGGTCCAGAAAACAAAATGTAGAATATTCACATGAAACTAAAACATATTTAAGTTATATTGATAATTCAAAGCTTGTTGATTCTGATAAATGAAAATAAGTTGTATGTTTAAAATAATTAAAGCATGCTAGATCAAAATAAAGTAACTTGACAAATCATAAATCATTATTGAATCTGCTATCTACATCTTTGACTTCAGCATGGCTCACAAACTAGATAGTGAATTTTGTAACAAAGAAAAGTACCAATTCCTTGCAGGAACTGCAGTAGGACTAAAAGATTGGCTTCGTATTACTTTCGCTGCTGATCCATCTGCTCTTGGAGAGGGTATGAGAAGAATAAAATCTTTCTATCAAAGGCATGCCAGAAAATTGTAAAAGCAATAGTGAATCCACAAATAAACATTATCATAAAAGTGTGTTCTCCTTTTGCTACTACACTACACAAGAATTAGAGATTGTATTTCAATATCGCATTATATAGTCTGGTTAGAAATGAACCATTTAAGTGCAAGTATCCACATAATCAAGAGGTATTCCTCTTCCTATTTTATGGACCTTTGGTAATATAATAAATATGGGTCTTAATATATTGTTAATATCCATGTCATCGGTACGATATCTATTGGCTTGAACTATAAATAATCTATCAGAGAATTTGGATATAAATAATCTCTATCAGAGAATATGAAAATGATTATCCCAATACCTTATTTATAGGAAGTGATTCAAGTACCAATCAAATTATGACTTGTTGCTTTAAATTATATATAAACATTTATAACATAAAAATTGATATATGATTTAATTAAAAATGAAATGTTTTATTACATTAAGCAAATAATATGAGCTTAAGAAGTCCAAAACAGATGTACTATATTTTTCATTTAATTTATTTTTATAATACCATTTATTGTAAAATGTTATATAAATAAATTTGATGATCAAAACTGGTGCAACACACCAAATTAAAAGATCAAAATAAGACAATTTTTTAAGGATTAGAATCGAAGTGTTTCCAATTTTCCATTCATCTTCCATGTTTCTTTTTTCCCTTTAATTTTATTTTTTTATTTATTTATTTTTGTTTATGACATTGCTATGCACCTTGTTGAAGGATTGTTGGGGACTGATTTTGTTTGCCTTTCGTGCTTATCGGAAAACTTTTTATAAATTTTGAATGCCTAAGCAGAAAATAAAAAATTTAAAAATTAAAAAAAAAAGTTGAAAAAATTTGCTTAAAAAACACTCAGGCCCAATATTGACTAACCTGAATGAACCCAATTGTGCAAATCCCAAATCCAACTACGCCGGAGCTGCTTACTTACGGTTGGAAATGGGGCTTTTTGACCTCACTAAATTAAAAAAAATTAAAAATACACGAAATAAATTAAAAAAAAAGTATTTATTGAAATAGATGATTTTGAACACCTAAGCATATACGTGGCACTAAAAACGCATGGGGTGGACGTTTTTTAGAAAAAGCTTCCCCCCAAGCGCCTTCTATTGCTGATGTGGCAGGTAGCACAGCTAGAAAAGAAAGAGCAGGGGTAGGCGTTTTGCACAAAGAGCCTTCCCCCCAGGCGCCTTCTATACACGTGGCGCGTTTCAACTGAAAGAGCATGGGGGGAGGCGCCATGTGTTCTTCATTTGACACGTGGCAGAGCTCCTCCCATTTTGTGTTTAAGTGTTCTCCGAGAGTAAAGGGGTAGATACGTTTTTGTTTGAGAAAACGCTTGTACTCCCGGCGCTCTGAGAAAACGGTTCTACCATTTGGTTCTGAAAAATTTTATTGGCCCACAAATTTTTTTTTGCACGTTGTTATCAGGTATGATTTTTACTTTATTTATTTTAAATTTAGAAATAAATATTAAAATACAAAATGTTTAGGGCTGATTCGTTAATGGTTTCTGGGTGTGGAACGGCCCATTCTGAAAACAAAATGGGCCGTTCTGATTGAACAAATTGGTTGTTATTTTGGATCTGGAACGGGCCGTTCTGAAAGTAGAACGGACCATTCTGAAAGTAGAACGGGCCGTTGTGGGGCAGTTGTGGTTGTTTGATTTAGTGAAAAATGGAAGGGATCAGAACGGCCTGTTTTGCTTTCGAAACGGCTCGTTCCAGAACCCAATTTTAGACACGTTTTGTGCAATGAGAGACCTGGATCTGAGGTTGGAATCCCATGAAAATTGACCGAGTCCAATTGACGAGCTTGTTGATCTGCAAATCGAAAAACTCCCTGGCCAGTGCACCAAGATAAGCCAACATTTGAGCACGGGGTTGCGACAACAACTTGTAGCCGAAATCTCCAAAAACGCCGACCTCTTCTCATGGTCCAACACCGACATGCCAGGTATAGACCCTAACCTTATCTGTCACAGGTTGCTAATCCATAAAGAAGCCAAACCAGTGGCTCAGAGAAAACGCAAAGTCGGAGGAGAAAGACGAGAAGCCATCGTAGCTGAAACGCAAAAAATTTTGAGAGCAGGCTTTATCCGAGAAGTCAGTTACACTACTTGGCTAGCCAACGTAGTACTTGTCAAAAAAAACTCGGGCAAGTGGCGCATGTGCGTCAATTACACCGACCTGAATAAAACATGCCCAAAATACACGTACCTTTGTCGAGCATAGACAGGTTGGTCGACGGGGCTTCCGGCCATGCCCTCCTCAGCTTCTTAGACGTGTATTCTGGGTACAACCAGATCATGATGTATCCACCGGATGAAGAACACACCGCCTTCATCACCGATCAAGCCAACTTCTGCTACTGCATGATGCCGTTCGGCCTCAAGAACGCGGGAGCCACTTATCAGCGATTAATGGATAAGGTTTTCTAGCACCAAATCGGGAGAAATATAGAGGTGTACGTAGACGACATGGTTGTCAAAACACCGTTAGCCGAGGCTCACGCCACTGACTTGGCCGAGGTGTTCAACCAAATTCGGAAGCACAACATGCGCCTAAACCTAGAAAAGTGCGTTTTCGGTGTCTAAGGAGGTAAATTTCTTGGCTTTATGATCACAAATAGAGGAATCAAAGCCAACCTGGAGAAATGCAACACCATCATACAGATGCAAAGCCCCCAAACTGTCAAGGTCGTCCAACGCTTGGCAGGAAGGTTAGTCTCTCTTTCTCATTTCATCCCCAAGTCGGCAGAGAAAGCAGGGCCCATCTTCACCCTACTACGCAAGCCAAAGAATTTTGAGTGGACTAACCAATGTGAAGAAGCTTTCAAGAGCTTCAAAGTTTTCCTTGCCACTCCACATGTCCTACAGAGGCCGGACCATCATTCTGACCTCCTCCTCTACTTGGTCGTGGCAGAAGACGCAATCAGCACGGTAATAGTACA